TTGCAATTCCCATCCCTGTCTCTCTATGGTCAAGGTAGGCTTTCCTTCCCACATTCTTGTGTCCTCTCCATGTTGTCTCAGGTAGAACCACCAGGTACCCCAATCTCCTCCCTCCTCCCTAAAAGGATGCCTACAGTTACCAGCCCTGGGGAATGGAGGGCTGCCAAAGATGGAAGACAGGAAGGAATTACAGATGTGGCTGCCTCATCCCCAGGAATGTTCACGGCCAGGCTGAATGGGATTCTGAGCAACCTGGTCTAGTGGAAGATGTCCCAGTCCATGGTAGGGGGCTTGGAATGAGATGAGCTTTGATATCCCTCCCAACCTAAACCTTTCTGTGACTGATTCTGCGGAAGAAGGCAGATGTAGGAAAATGTTTCTGCTGTAGTTTGGCTCTCCAAGGAAAAAGGCCAAAGGTGCAGTTATGAACAGTTCCCAACAGATGGCTCCCGAAATGCAGAGAGAATGGCTGTGCTGAGTGCTTGTATCAGATTTGTCTCACAAACGGAGATTCTGTTGTACCAATGGATCCACGGGCCAGGGCCAGTTGTGTGAGGTTCAACCAGGCCAAGTGCTGGCTCCTGTCCCTGGGTCACAGCAGCCCCTGCAGCTCCAGCTGGGACAGTGGCTGGGAAGCTGCGGAGTGGGAAAGGCCCTGGGGGTGCTGGTCAGCAGTGGCTGAACATGAGCTGGGGGTGCCCAGGGGGCCAAGGAGGCCAAAGGACATCCTGAAAGTATCAGCAGTGGTGTGGGCAGCAGGAGCAGGGCAGGGACTGCCCCTCTGTGCTGGGCAATGGTGGGGCCACACTCCAAGTGCTGTGTCCAGTTCTGGGGTCCTCAGAAAGGAGGACACTGAGGTGCTGGAGTGAGCCCAGAGAAGAGCAAGGAGCTGGGGAAAGGTCTGGAGCAAAAGTCCTGTGAGGAGCAGCTGAGGGAACTGAGGGTGTTTATCCTGGAGAAAAACAGGCTCAGAGGAGACCTGGTCACTCTCTACAGTGACCTGAAAGGATGATGTAGTCAGTCCCTTCTCCCAAACAGCAAGTGACAGGACAAGAGAAATGGCCTCAAGTCGTGCCAGTGAAGGTTTAAGTTGGATATTAGGTTGAATTCCTTCATGGAAGGTGCTGATAAGCATTGAAGCAGGCTGTCATGGCGTGGTGCATGCCTAGGGGTATTTAAAAGATGTGTATCATCAAATCACAGAATGTTTAGCTTGGAAAAGACCTCTCAGGTCATTGAGTCCAAAAATTTAACCAGCACTCACTCCCAAATTCACCACTAAATCATGTTCCTAGGCACCAGCTCTGAACATCTTCTTGGAAACTTTCAGGAATGGTGTAGATCTGGTGGCATGTGGAGACACCTATAAAACACTACTGCAGAGAGCAGCTCACCCAGGCCCCACAGAGGACCAATGTCACCAGAGGGGACACACCAAGCAAGGTGTTCCCTCAAGCACACACACGAGAACTTGAGTGCAGGCAGAACAACTTTGTGACCAGAAACTATTAAACTAATGCTTATAACAAACCTAGCCTAACAAGGTCTGCTCAGATCTCTTGTTTCTTCATCCTCTGGGCCCACACTGGGCACTGAAAAGGGCTGTTGAGGTTTCACTATGTGCCATGCAGCCACTCACTCATTCTCCCCACAGTTCATGCACTGGGCATGGTGTTCTATGGCACGGAATGTCCCTCTGGGCAGTTTGGGTCAGCTCTCCTGGCCATGCCCCCTCCTGCTTTCTTGTGCACCTGCTCCCTGCCAGAGCCTGGGAAACTGAGCAGTCCTTGAGTTAGGGTAAAAAGTGCTGAGCAACAGCTGGAACTGTTGCTCAGTGTGTTATCAGCATTATTCTCAACTGAATCCAAATCACAGTACTGAAACAGCTACTGGGCAGAAAACGAACTCTATCCCAGATCAAACCACCTCTTACTCCATACCTTTCACCATGCCAGGTCCCCTGCTTCCCAATGCCCCATTGCCCTTACTGTCTTTTGATATCAGTCTTTTGAACCCTTCCACTGCCTAAAGAGAGCCTGTAAGAAGGATGGGGAGAGGTTTTTGATGAAAGCATGTAGTGACAGCACCAGGAGTAATGCCTTTAAAGTGAAAGAGGGGGGTTTTAAATTGGATATCAGGAAGAAATTCTTTACTGTCAGGGTGGGAAGCACTGGCAGAGGTTGCTCAGAAAATCTGTGGATGCCCCGTCACTGGAAGTGTTCCAGGCCAGATTTGATGAGGCTTTGAGCAACCTGGTCAAGGGGAAGGTGTCCCTGCCCATGCCATGGGGCAGGAATGACACGAGCTTTAAGGTCCCTTCTAGCCCAAATCATGCTTTGATTCTGCAATGGCATCATTCGCTCTGTCTATGGACCACTCCTACAAAAGTCCCTCGAAGTTGTTTAGTTCCTGACCTTGGGCTTTATCTGTCCTAAGAGTCTTTCAGGGCAGGAAGGATGGTGTGTGGGGGTGTCACGTGTAGAAACCAGCTCTGATTCTATCAGTGCAGGGCTTGGCTGGCTTCAACAAAGCTCATCCTTCCTTAACATGGCAATCAAAGGAGAGCTGGGCTCACATCCCCAAATTCAGAGAGGCAAGGTACCCTGTGATGGTGATGGGCATATTAGTGGCCATGGAAACTATATGCAGTGCTATGTAGCAATTAACATCATCCAGTTTAATTTATTGACTGTTCTCACTCAAAATCAAACCCTCTTGACCCCCACACTGGACTTGAGCAACAGGCACAGGGCCCATGGTTTTGCTGTCACCTCCTGTCCCCGTGCACAGCTCCTGATGGGAGCACTGTGCAAACATTCCCTGGCATCAGCAGGATTTTCCATGGGTGCCAGTACTGCCTCTGGCTCTCACCCTGCCCCTCCAAGGACCTTCTGAGAAGAGATGGGCACTGCTCTCTCAGCCCTTCACTGACTGTCCCACTGCCCATGTCAGCCACATCCCAGAGCCCTGAGGGGACAGAGCCCTCACCAGCACTGCTCCCAATCCTTGGCAATGTGGTCAGCACTGCTGAGGCCATGCAGGTGGGGAGCAGTCATTCTGTGACCCAAGGAGTTGTGTATTCACTCCCTTCCCCTTGCTATCAGGCCCTGAAGGTCCTGTGCACCAAGTACCAAAACAAACAGATTTCTTCTTCCTCTCCCTGCCAGCCCCAAGGACACCTGGCAGGGTGGTGGTGGCAGTGACCCTGGCACAGAGCCCTCTCCCTGCTGTCTGCTGGAGCCCAGCCTGGCACCTCCCATCACAACACACACTGAGAAAGTGTATTTTTCAAAATACTTCTTTATTTCTCTCAATACTGACATTACAAAAAAAGAAAAAAAAAGAAAAAAAAAAGAAGAAAAGAAAAAAAAGAAAATTACAAAAAACCCCACTATAAAACATTCAGGTCTCGTTGAAACCGAGAAAAACAAATCAGCTTGCATCTGCGTGCTGGCCTGTCTTCTCGCTCACCTTGTCCACCACATTTCTCCACATTGAACTCCACAGGGACCGGTGGAGGGAACCAGTGGCCACCCCTGGCTGGCCAAAGCAGGTGATTGATTCAGCAGTGCCTCACAGGTCTCCTCGCCCCACAGGTAACACTGTACAGCTGCACCCCCAGCCCCACGGACACCCCACGCACAGCCCCCCCACCCCAAGGGACCCCCTGCTTCAAGTCAGCAAAATTTTTTTTTTAGGAATTAAAAAAAAAAGATTCCCAGGGCAGGGGGAGGGGGATATTTTGGCAGGGGGTTTTCTTGGCAGTGCTGCAGTGAAAGAGGAGCTGTACAAAGCCAGGTCAAATGTGCCTCCAGCTCCACACCAGCCCTTTCCTGGGAAAAAAAATGGCATGAGGCAGAGTGGGCTGAGAAAGGTAAGAAATATAAAAATTCTCCTGATGGAAATCCAAAGGTTTTAAAAAAATACAGTATTTGAAAATGGAGCCACTAAACAGACTGCCTCATGCACCTCCCAGATCCGCCCTGATGTCCAGAAACACCTCCTGAATGAATTGTCCCTGTAGAAAAATATATACACACGCCTCTCTCTTCTTATTAGAATCCCTAATTTGACCTGAAACACTAGTGAAACCCACAGCTCTGCTCACGCTTGGCTCTGCTTTTGCACCCAGATTAGTGCTACACGCACACACAACCCCACTCCGGGGGTTTGCTGTTCGTGTGGCTGAATCATCCCCCTTTCAAAAAAAGCCTGGGTGCGTCAGGCCAGTATCCCCAATACAGGCAGAGAAAAACCCTTACGAAGTTTATCTAATGAGCTCTATATATATGTATTTAAAAAATAAAAGCAGCAATGCAAACTCAACACATCTGAAAAAAGAAAGCTCCACCCTGGGCTTTCCCCCCTCCTCCTGCTGGCTGGGCCCTGTGGGCAGCAGGTGCAGGCAAGTGCTGCCCAGGGGCACTGGGGACATCCCCGGGCAGGGGCAGGAGGCTGGATGGGCCATCCCCACGTGCTCCGTTGTTTGGCACGGCCGAGGCTCGGTGTAGGCTTGGCACAGGAGAGCGGACCACGGCTGGATTGGTACCGTGGCCCCAAGGTGAGAGATTGTCCAGCTACTGGGGGGGCCACCACAGGCAGGAGTGACCGGCACTGCGGTGCAGCCGGGACCCCAAACAGCAGCAAGTATCAAAGAGGGGAAGAGAAAAACCAGCAGCGGGGATGCCAGATCCTGCGGAGTCCTATTTACACAGCGCCGGACCCCGGCAAGTCCAGCTTCTTGTGGGAAGAGTGGCCTGAAAAGCAGGTGACATAAAAAACCCACGACACGACGCACCTCCCCGGGCAAAGGGCCCACGGCTCTCGCTCTTGCGAGGCAGAAAAAATGGACCTCTGGGGAGAAGGAAAGGGTTTGGCAGTTGGGGGAGCTGTGGCAGACAGGAGTCTCCCCGTTGTTGGAGTAAAAAACCGGCCAAGAAGGATGGATAGGGGGTGGGTCGGATGGGTTTTTTGGGGGAGAAAAGTAGTGTGAGGGGTTGTTTTTTTCTCTTTTTTTGCATTTAAAAGTGCTGTGACACCTTGGCTCTGTGCAGGCCAGGTGCTGTGGCACATGCATTTGGAGTATTGCTGCTTTGGAGGAGAGTCCCTGGGCTCTAGGAGCATGGGAGGTGCTGCTTGAGGATCTGTCTCGTCTGGGGAGCTATTCTGTCCGGGAAGCGGATTTTGAACTCCACGATCAAGTCTCCTCGCTGGCTGGGGGCCTTGGGGAAGGGCAGCCCCTCCCCACGTAGTCTCTTCACTGTCCCTGGCTTGATGATGTCGTTGCAGGGGAGCGGGATCACCCGTCCATCGATGGTGGGAATGTTCACAGTGCAGCCGCACAAGGCCTGAGGAAGGAAGAGGGAACAGGACATCAGATGGGGCCGACTCCCCAAAGCATCCTGGCAGCCACACCCTGCACCCCACTGGCTGCTCCCCCGGTTGAACTGCCCTGCTCCTGTGGATGCTGCCCAAGAGCATTGGATGATGCTCACAGCGCAAGCACAGCTCTCTGCTGGCACCAGCCTGGCCCAACCACCATGAACTGGGCTACAGGAGCCGTGCAGGAGAGGGGTGCCTTGGCTCTCATGGGGGGGAAGGACTCCCCTCCCCACCTGCTGGGCTGCCCAGAAGGCACCACCAGCACCCAGCCACCCACAGCAACAACGCAGGCTAAATTTAGCTCCTTTCCAGCCCTGTCGGCCAGCCTCAGGCAGCCGAAAATCCAGCTGAGATCATGGGATGCTGCCACAGCCCGTCAGCTGTCACCCTCCGGAGCACGGCAGCTTTGCCCGGTGCCTGGGGTTATCTATAGCACAACAGCCCATGTCCCCTGTCCCATCCCTGTCACCTACAGCCCCCACAGGGCTACGCCAGCATGGCACAATGGCGTGGCTGTGGCACTGGGCTTCCCTGGGAGCTGGGGGGCTGGAGGGGCTGGCTCCCATCTCCTGTCCCCTCGCACAGCCAGGAGCCGGTGTGGGGGTGCCACCCCTGTGCACCCCAGCCCCCAGCAGCAGCCGCACACCGGCCTGCATTGGCAAGCCACGTGATGCAGGAATGCAGCAAGAAAATCCTTGTGTCCTTAAATAACTCAGACAGCTCTGTCGTACATGTGGGCAGGATCGTCTCCAGGCTTTCAGCAAGGGCTGAGCGAGAGGACTGCGGAACGATGCTTCTGGAAGGGGGTGGGGGCTGGGGGGTTGCTGAGCTACAGCCTCGAGCTTCCATGTGGGGAAGAGCACAGGTCTGTCCCTCTGAACTGGGTCCTGGGGGTCCAACCCCTCCCAAAACACCCTGCAAGGCCAGTGGAGAAAGATGCAATTGCTGTTTCTGGGGTAGGCGGGGGAATGTTCTGCATTCCCCCCCTCTGCCAGGAAAAGCCTCCAAAGGCAGAGCAGCAACAGGCACCAGGAGAAACACCTCATGCTGGCCACTGGCTCTGAGATGATGGATGGGGCTTCTGCAGCAGAACCCAGAGGGTTTGAACCCAGGCTTTGAACCAGAGGGCTTGCAGTAGGATCTGCACCAGAGCTGGTTCAGGGTCTTTGTTGAGTGGAGAACATGGGAGAAGGTCCTATCTCCTTTGCATGGCTCATCTGCACAGGCCTCCTCCTGGAGAGGGTGTCCTCCAGGGACGAAGTGTTCAGCCTGCAGGAGGATGCCATCACCAGCTCTGTGTGAGCAGCAGGTGCTTGGCTGATCTCCAGCAGGTTGAGGGGAAAACAAAGCACAATCCCCCCACATCAAGGAGTTTGTGCTGTGCATTCAGGCATGGATGCCAAAGCCCTCCTGCTCGCTGGTGCCCAGTGCAGTGTGCCATGGCTGCAAGTGCCCATGTGCACCAAGAAAGGACACCTCCAGCCACAAAACAGAAAGGAGAACAAGAAGTCCCTGTGGGAACACGTGGATGGGGAAAGCAGGCAGAGATGTGAGCAGAAGCGGGCGGTAACAGCGAAGGCAGACAGGATCTTAATGTTTCCTTCCCAGAGCCAAGACGCAAGAATCCGAGGCGATCGCTCCTCCGCCGTATGTCCCTGTTTTTCATTCTTCTTGCTCAACTTTGCTGGCATTTGGGAAAACAGTTGCTGAAGTAACACCAGTAACCGCGGGAGCTACCCCGCATCCTAGAAAGAGGCTTGGTTTATCCCTGGGGATGAAATCACCCTGGGTTTGAGCACCATGCTGTGCGAGCAGAGCTTTATCTAGGTCAACACTGGGTCCTCCTCCGCTCGCGGCGAAGCCGCCGGGGCGGGCGTCGGCACCGGCCGCGTCCCAGCCGGGATGAGCCGAGGCGCGGATGCTTCGAGGAAGGTGACGCCAGGTAAAGGATGCAAAGCGGGATGGTGCCCAGGGCAGGCATTAGGCAGCAGCCAGGAGGGCAGGACGCCCTGCCGGCAGCGCTGCCTCCAGCAGAGGCAGCTGCTGGTGGAGCTGTGCGCCTCCGCCCTCCCGCAGCTCCCCGCTGCGGCACGCGCCTCTGATTTTAGGAAGGAAGACAATGAGTCCCCGGAAAAGCACTCCTACATCTGTGATTCTGCAGCAGACAGGTGGCAAAACGCCTGCACTGCCCCAGCCAGGCACCCAGCAAGGCCAGGACTCAAGGGCTAGGAAGGCCCTCCAGTACCCATCACCTGCCAGCTCTCCTGATGGCACTATGTTCTCTCATGGCAGTGGCAGAGACTAAAACTCAGGCTAGAAGAGGCAGCCTTTCAAGGCAGAAGGTGCAAGAAGACACCTAAGGCTACAGCCAGGGGCTGAGGAGATGGAGAAGTTGTGCTCTGTCACATACTGAGGTGGTAGCATACAGAATTGGAGAGCTCCCAGTATCTGCTCGCGCTCCAGAGCACTTAAGGAACTTCTTTTCCTGGAAGACAAACGCAGCAGAGTATCACACTGTCCTGGCAAGCAGCAGGCTGGGGATGACAGTCAGCCAGACCAGCAGCCCCATGAGGATGTCCAGCCTGTTGGGTTTGTACTGGGGGAGGTCAGAGATCAGAAATTCCAGCTGAGAGAGATAAGGAATTGCCTGGACCATAAATTTTCTGTTTTGTGTCTGAGTTGTGCAAATCTACTGCCAGCAAGCAAGCCTTGCTCATGGAGGTCACAGGTGTCCAACACTTCTGGCGCACTTCTCAAGCCCATTTCTCCAGTTACTGCTCAAAAAGTCAACTCCAGGCAGGAGTCCCTCCACCCTGACCAGTGCACAGACTTGGGCTAACATGGTCTGGGCATCAGCCCAGCCAGGTCAGATAAAAGGAATGAACAGAAGGAAATATCTGAGATACGGCATGTGCTGCTCCATAAATAAGGCAGTCTCTCCCTTTTATTTTTGGGAGTATTTCTGGAGTTGAGATCCAGGAGAACCAGCTACTGCAGGAATAAACCTCTGCACTTTGCAGTGTGAGGGAAACTCCTGAGTCTGCAATATCAGTGGAGCTGAGGTTGCTGCAGGAGTGCCCAGCTCTGCCTGGCCTGAGGTTGCTGCAGGAGTGCCCAGCTCTGCCTGGCCCATGTACACTCAGGTCACAGCCTGAGCTGGGATGCAGAGCCATCACAGAGCCCTCCTGACTTCCTGGCACACTTCACAAGATCACGTTTTCCTGCCTCAGGTCTGGCCCATTGAGCTTATTTCTATTCAATGCATTTGAGAACATAAATCAGCCTTCGGGAAGGAAAAAAAATCAGCTCATTAAGAAGACAGACAGCGTCTACCGTCTGAAAGGAACAGCAAATGGCAGCTGCCAAAAATGTCAACGTTAAATGCAGCTGCCAGCTGGGATTTATTAAAAGGTAGTTTTACAGCAGCAGTGGCGAACAGCACATCTTGTACTGAGGTAATCTTCCCTTTCCTCTCCCACCTTCGTGCAGATTGCTGGATGATCTGTTGCATCCATGTAGCCCTGCCATGACCTCCAGGACTGGCAGCCTGGAAGTGTTGAGTTTTACTCATTGCCTGGGTATTTAATTTGTTTGGTTCCTCATCTAGGAAAGCCAGAATCAAGGAAAACAGCAAAAGCACTGCTCAGGGAGGGCAAGAGATCACTTTCCTCCATGTCACCCTGCTCTCGGCACATGGGAAGAGGCACCTGGTGCAACCCTAGGCAGTAACTAAGCCACAGCAGGCTCAGCTACAGGAAAAGCAGGAATCACACTGATGCCACCCAACCTGGGTTTTCTCTTACTCCTACAGAGAATGTGCTGTTTGTTCCACATGTGAATATCCTATGCTAAAATAGAAGAACAAGACATATGAAGAAGGGAGGAAATGGATGAAATGAGCCACCTGAATTGGCTCAAGAAGTGAGGTGTGTTCCGCAGGGACCGCAGCATCAGTGTCCCACACCTGGCATGGAAGTCAAACACCTCCAAAGCCAAGACCAAGTTGGCCTCTGCAGCTCTTGTCTTGCGACCTACCTGGTCTTTCCTATCCATAGCAGGAGAAGGACTGCCTCCCATTTTGGCCCCAAAGGCCATGAACCAGTGCCACCCCACATCCCATGGGATTTACCACCTGTACCCACCTCTTTAAGACTGATGTTTGCCGTGTAGATCACGTTTGTCCCGTCCCTCTTGAAGTGCGAGTGAGGCTTGTCCTTGAGGATGAAGACGATGTCTGCAGGGATGTTGTCTGGAGTGGCATCCCCTTCTTTGGGGAAGGTGATTTTGGTTCCCTCCTTCCAACCCCGTTTGATGACAATGTTTAGGATCTTGTCCTCAGTCCGCATGGTCCGGCCATCAGCGTTGAGCCTTCTGCGAGTGATCTTCATCCTCTTGGTGGATCCGTGGTAGATCTCTTCCAGGGACACCTTGAGCTCGTGGATGACAGGTGGGTCCTGGACCTTCCTCCGCGTGTGCAGGGACTCCTGGTGCCGACGGTGAACTCCATTAATGCCGTTGAAGCCGAACCGGCCAAAGGCACTGAAAGGGTCGTCGTCATCATCCATATCCATATCTTCCTGGTCAAAGCCATTGAACATCCGGGAGCGGCTGCTGGCGAAGAAGATGTCGAAAGGGTTGGAGCCTCCGAAGAAGGATGCGAAGGTGGCATGGGGGTCTCCATGGAAGGTGTAGTGGAAGGTGTTCCCTGAGCCACCTGAAGAGCCACCTCCAGTTTTGAGACCTGGAAGACAAGGGGGAAGAGGAGACATGAATGCTCCCTGTGGGAAAATGCTCTGCAGGGACTGCACTGCCCAGGTGGGAGAACGGCCTCTGCCGCCTCCTTCCACCCTCTCCTGAGTGTGCAGACCACCTCCAGCAGAACCACTGTGAAGGCACCATCTCACTTAGTCTCATTCCTATACCCTACAAACTCACAATCCATTCAGGTTTCATTTCCTCTATCCCTACTGAAGGACCTCTTTGATTCTCTCCACCTTATTAATCTAATTTTAATTTAAAACATATCCTGATCAGTCCATCTCCATTGTTCTCCATGAGCAGGCTTCTTCCTACCACAACAGTCTTATCTCTGAGACTGGATAATTGGAAAAATTGCTTCACAAAAAAGTTGGTCAGGAACAGGCTTCCTAGGGAAGTGATAGAGTCACCATTCTTGGAAGTGTTCAAAAAGTGTGTGGATGTGGCACTTAGGACATGGCTTAGTGATGAACATGGCACTGCTTCATTAAATGATCTTAGAGATCTTCTCCACCCTCAATGACTCTACAGGCAGGTGGAGGTGAGCAGACCTCCAGGTGGGCATGCAGCTCCCTGCACACTGGCTGTATAAAATGCCAGGTAAGCTCCAGGTTTGAATCATTTAGCACCCTTTCCCATAGGAAACTCCCCTGTCAGGTCCCAGGCTGAGCCTGACGTCACAGCAACTCATCCCAAGTCCCAAAGAGTCAAGGCACATGACAAATGCCCCCCAAAGAGGTCACACATGCTCTGCAAGGCTATTTTTGATCAGCAGGGTTGGGAAGGGTTAAGCCAAGCCTAGCTCAGGGACTATTTTCAGGGCACACCAGTGACAGTGAAGGACTATTTCTGACAGGCTGTCCTTTGTCCCAACCCCCATGCTCTGTCCACAGCAGGACAAGCTCGGGGGTCTCTTCTGAGTGCTGAAGTATTCTGGCTGGGCTGAAGGGGCTTTCCCACTTCACCTTGCCTACAAAGCATGTGTGACCCTGAAGCTCCTCAAAATGCTGACCTTCATTGCCCAAAAAAAATGGGAAACAAAACATGTGGGGAAGGTCATGGAACATGAGAGGTTCAACAAAGATGGGACATGGGGGAACTTGGTCTTTAACTTGATGGGGCAGCAAGGGAGCTCTTACCCTCTTCCTTAATTCACTCTTATTTTAGATGCCTGCAGGCGACAGGGATTTTGCCAAATCCCCAGTGAGCCCCACTGCTAATAGACTGTACAGCCAGGAGGTTTCACCTTTAATCCCATGACGCCAGCCTGAGCGGGGTCCGATTTCATTGAGGCCTCCCGGGAAAAGCTGGTTTCCCACTTGAGAGAGTCTCTTCTCATTTTACAGGGCAGCAAATCACTGTGCCCTGTGCATCCATCACAGCCCTGACATAACTAACGGGTCAACAATTAACCCACTGCTGCTTAATCCCACCGGTGGCTTGTGAGGGGATGCACCTGCCCGAGAGAGGAGCTGCCTCTTCCACCCAGCAGTCTGCTCCTGCCAGACCTCCTGCTCTTTTAAGCACCCAGGCCCTGGGCTGATTAATGCAGATGCTATTCGGCACTCTCCTCGAATGGGGCTGCACTCTTCCATCATCGACTAATAAGGCCGCCTGCCTTGGAGCGGCTCTCCTCCTCCTCCTCCTCCTCCATGCCAACCACCAGACAACAGCAGCCGCTTGGTTTCAAAACAAGGGCCTATTACTTAAATTGGGAAAAGCTTTGAATCCTCTAGGTCAGCCTGTACCAGGGAGGACGGTGGGACCAGTGCCCAAGTGCAGGGGGAGTGTGGGCAGAAGCAGTACGTCTCTGCTGTGTTATTTAGGTCATTTAAAGAGCCGCTAACAAATTACCTTAGGTACAACCCAGGAGGTGAGCTCCTTCAATTTCTCAGCTGGCGCCCAAAGTTCTGGAGCAGAGGGCAGGAGGAGCCCAGCCACCCCAGGAAGCAAGCTGACAAATTGCTGTAAAAGTGAAGCAGCCTGGGGAAGAGTGGGATGAGAGGTGATTTCTGCCACCTGTGGAGCCTTCACTCTCTCTGATTCTTTGGCAACCAGTCCCATTTCAGGAGTAGGCATGAAATACTGAAACATCTCTCTGTGAAAACCCTCCCTCACCTCTAAAACAGATTTGGACCCCACATCCCTGCCTTCCAGTGGGCAGTGCCTATCCCCTTACCTTCCTCCCCATACTGGTCATACACGGCTCGTTTCTTGGGGTCACTCAGGACGTCATAAGCCTCCGCAATCTCCTTGAACTTCTCCTCAGCGTTGGGGTCTTTATTCTTATCAGGATGATATTTCAGGGCCATTTTCCGATAGGCCTTCTTGATTTCATCTTCGTTGGCACCGCTCTGGATGCCCAAAATCTTGTAGTAGTCCTTCCCCATGATGGCAACGCTGCTGGGAGCTGAGTACTTATTCCTGAAAGGAGAAAGACAGCTCTTCGTGAGGTGAAAATCACACAGGGGCAGCTGGGGACAGGACTAGCACACACTTATCGCGGAGACGATGCTCCCTGTGTCCCACGGGCCAGCAGCACCAGAGCCGGCTCAAGTCCACGCTTCCCAACAGAGGTCAGAGCCCCGGTGCCAGAATGTATCCCAGCTCTGGTTTTATCCCGCTGAGCCCCTCGGCAGGGACAGGCAGACTCATCTCTGAGGCTGACAGGGAGAGAGAGCTCAAGTCGGGGCACGGTGCTATTATAGGGGCCACGCCACTGCTAACGTCAGGCCAGGACCACGTCCCTGTCCGTCCCCCCCGGCTGAGTCAGGAGGGCTGAGCTATGTCCAAATGTAGCTGCCGGCCTGTGTCCACCCCCTTGCCTGGTTCTCTCCCAGCTGGGGACCTGAGACCCAAGTGAGGGTGATGACAGCAGGTTTTGGAGGCTGAAAGCAGTGGCAGGGACCACGTTGTGCCTTCACCTTAGAGGAACTTCAAACATTTTGTTCCTGAAAGTAATTGGCATTCAGTTGGAGATAAGCGCCTCCGGCTGTCAGAGCCATAATTTGTATTTAGCGGAGAGGGAACGGAGCCGTTAGACAGAAACATCTTGTGATGGTGGGAGGGCTTTTTTCTTTTTCTGTTTTAAAAAAAACCCAACACTTTCTAGCCTGACTTGCACTCCCCAGCTGGATCCTGCAGTAAGGCAGGAGCTCAGGGCACACTCGCTGTATCGCGCGGGGGCTGAGGCCGTGCCCATGCCTATACTAAGGCATGGAAAACCCGGTGGCCGTAATTCATCCCCCAGTCACCACTGGAGCCACAGCCACCCAGGGAGCAGCCAGGGAAGACGGCAGGGCTGCTCCTCCAGGCAGAAGTTGGTCCCATGCCTCTCCATGGATGTTTCCTGGATGTTTCCCACTTCTCCTTAACTTTTGGCTATCTGACAGCAAACACTTGACACCCCAAACTGCAGGGTCTGGCCTGGCCCCTCTCACACTCAGTGCTGACCCTGCTTCTCCCAGGTGCTGCCCTTGCACTCCCACTGCTCACATCCTGCTCCCTGCTACAGTCCAGTTTCACCCTATACTTGCTCCAAAGACACCTGAGCCACCCCAATCCACTGTGCCCCTCCAGCAGAGGGATTATGGAATGGGGTGTGAGTTTTGGCCCTTTCCTTCACCATCATACAAGCTACCAGATGTTCTCCCCACCCTTACTCTCTGTCCATGAGCTGCCATTGGAGGTCACAGAGGGATCTCCCAACCACCACAGCTCGATCAAGGGTGGCCATGCTCGCCAAGGATCCATGCCTGAGTGCTGCTCTAAGCATCTGGCAGCCATACCAAGCATCCAACACTTGCCTTGGGCCATGCCCTGGGCAATGACCCGCTACAGGAGCTTGGAAATTGGTCCCACATTTGGCCACCTCCATCCAAACCACCAACTTCTGCCCTTTTTTGCTCCAGCTGTGGGGGAGAAGCTTTGCTGTAGATGGGGGGGGGGGCTAAGGGAGCCCTGAAGGACACAGTGAAGGGAGATGGGGGCATCTGCAAACACTGTACAACAGCTCAGGCGGCACAGAAGAGGTGGGAGGAGGTCCCTGGGGGCATAAAGAGCATCTGACAGCGTCTCCTGTGGCAGCTCCCGGATGCCAGCACATTTCTATACCAGCTCCTGCATGCAGAGATGCCAGCAGCACCCAGCCCACGCAGGTGCTGGGGGATGCTCTGCCCCCAGCCCACATCCACCTCCCCATTTACCCTCCCTAAGTGCTGGGGAAGCTGCAGGAGACCTGGTGTGAGCAACCAGCAGGAGAACCAAGAGCTATCCCATCCATTCTCCAGACCAAAGGTCACTCCAATACCCCACAACCCCACATCAACCTCCAGTGGAGGGCAGGGGCTCCCTGAGGCTGGTACTGGGATGATGATCTGGCCCTGTCTGGCCCTGCTGCTGACCCTCCCACAGCGAGAGCAAACCAAGCAGCGCTAAAGATAACCCATCACACCCTAGCTCCAGCAACACAGAGCTGACAAACCTTCAGCTCTCACTGCCCAGGGACCTCAGTGTCTGGCTCTGACCCCACACAGCCCAGCCTGACAGCACCACTGGGACACCCTCATCCGGCCAAAACCCCACAGTGTTTCCCACGAAAAGACATCCCAAAAATGCAAAATTCTGTCACCACCCACAAGATCTCTGGTCTTGCCCACGGAGAGGTCTTTGGCCAGGGTGGGGATGCATGATAGGATCTCTGACCTGACCAAGGACCCCTTCGTCTGGCTGGGCATGGGGAAGGGAATTTCTGTACCGAAATGCATCCCGGTGCCGCGTTTACCGTGCCAGAGAGGACCAGGTGCCGGAGGGTGACCCGGTGGGTTAAGGCACACTCCCGAGGCTCAGCTCACATGCACAATGGTGGTAAAACACGACTCTGTCCCCGCAGAGCCTCCCTCCTTCCCTCCCACCTTTATGGGATCAGCTGCGCCTTGCCACCGATCTTCTCCCCCTTCTGCTCAGTCATCCTCTCCTGACTTCCCATTTAACCCCCTCGGGAGCGGTAGGGGGGGTTTCAGGCAGGCAAAGGCATTCCTGTACCACCCTTGCAGATCAGATGCCCCCAGATAATTCACGGCCACCCTGCCTTGGTGAAAACCACAGGCATTCCCCTGCCCTGCCAAGCCAGCCTAACCTCCATCCTCCTCTTGCAACCACACCAAAAGAAAAAAAAAATAATTAAATAAAGAATAAATCTTTGTTCCGGCCCCGCACATGACATCAGCCCGAGCAACCGCTGGGCTAGCGCGCCAGCTGAATAGCGATCGTTTGACATAATCCCTCTGCTCGGCAGTCATCTAAGGGAACTAACCCACCCTGGCAACGGCACAAGATTTTTTTTGCCCCATCTCGGGGTGCAAGGTCACCGCGGGATGCCAGGGACAGGCACTGATGGTTTAACGAGGACACAAGGTCGAGAGGCGGAAACCCACTTACCGAAACTTTACGAACACATTCATAGTCCAAGCTGTCATTTTTAAAGGCTCTAGCTTTATTTTAAACATCGCGGCTGTCCGCAGGCGGCGGCAGGTGCTGTGTGCCCGGCCGGGAGGCACTGGAGGGCGGGAGGAAGGTGGCGGGGCAAAAGGCGCTGCCTCGTGCCGGGGATGCCGCCGCCGCCAAGGGATGCTCTGCTGGCGAGTCCCCCCCTCCAGCTCCTCCGGCTCACCCAAAGGGCAGCTCTTCGCCAGCCCGGCAGCCGTGGTTGGCTCTGACCTCGCTCCCAGGATGGCTCCGAAAGGGCTCCTCCGGTCGACGCGGTGCCGCCGGGGAGCTGCCGTCCTTTGTGTGCTTCCAAGCCGCGCACGGAGAGACCCTTCAATGGAGTCACTCGCCGCGCCGTGATTTTCCTTTTAATTGGTTTCTTGACGCTTTCTCGTTAAACGGACAGATTAAGACACTTCTGCTTAATCCGTCAGTTGCAGCATTCCTCTTCTCCGCTGCCAGAAGGCACCCGGCCGCCTGGTACCGTCACGTCCCCCACGCAGCCCCCTCCAAGGAGCGCAGGGAGCGCAGCCAGGAGCCCCCCGGTGTCCCCAGAAACGACTCTGCTGACGCCCAGGGCTGAGCACCCGCCAGGCGAATCGGGTAGGGAGAAAAGTAGGGCGGCGTTGATATGGAAAAAAGTCACGTTAACCAATGTGCACCTCCCCAGCTTTTCCCGTTCGGATGCATGGGGGTCCCTGTGTCCCCCGCACCGGCCGCCGGCACCGGTCCCCCGGCAGAAGGGATGTGAGTGCCGCATTCCCGCCCGGCGTCCCGGGCTCCCCGTGGCGGCAGGGCAGCGGGACAGGGACGGTGCGTCCCCCGAGCCCACGGCGCAAAAACCTACTTCTGAGAAGTCACCTTCAGGCACGCCAAAGAAAGCTATAATGCCACCGCGTCCCCTCGTCTGTCACCGTCACTCGCAGGCCACGGAGAGCATCCTCTCCAGAAGCTCTACACCGAAACTAGGCAGCCGTACCGGGGGTACCGCCAGGGCAGCTCCTGCATCCCACCCGCGGCAAGTGAAGCAGCCGAGCGGGCGACAGCCCCATCCCGCCGTGTCCCCAGGGGCTGCAGTCCCGCCGGGCTCCGAGCCGGCGGGGTCCGGCCCGGCGCGGGTGCCGAGGCAGTGCATACCTCTCGGCGCGGCTCCAGAAGAGCAGGATTGCCGGCATGGTAGCGTATCCCGGGCTCAGTCAGAGAGCTGCTGAGGATCTTGTCGCGCCGGGGCAAGCAGAGCCACCCGTGCCCGTGCTGGATGGCAGTCTCAGGCAACCAGGCAGCAATGTCATGACTACCCGCAATGAATCATCCCCTCCCCGAGCCCCCACACGCACCGCCCGCCTCCCCCTCCCCACCGACAGCCCCACTGGGGTGCCGGCACCTGCGTGGGGACGGGGTTAACCCTCCCCTCGCTGCCTCTGCCAGCACAGCCCCCGCTGCCAGCCCCGCCGGCGGCCGCCTCCTGCGTGGGCACGGAGCAGGACCCCCGCTCAGAATGTCCCCAGAGAGGGTCCCAGATCCCCACAGCCACCAAGTGCTGTCTCCTGCGTGGGGATGGTGTCAAGTACCACCTGAGATCACCCCTGACCGGGTCCCCCATTTTCCAGACCTATCTGGCGCTGGCTCTTGGATGGAGATGGGGTCAAGCCCCTCACAGTGTCTCCCCAAGTAAGTTCCCCTCTTTCCAGCCACACTCGGCTGCTCACAGCTGTGTGGAGATAGGCTCAAGCCCCCCATGCTGCCTCCCCGTGTAGGGTACCCCAATTCCAGAGTCACCAGGATGCTCACAATGGCATGGGGATGGGTTTGAATCCCCTCAGTGCATGGACCACCACCCCATGCCTCCCACCCAGCCCCACTGTGGGGCTAAGAACTTCAGGGGGATGGGGTTTGTCCCCCTCCCGAGCCCAGAGGCGCTATCCTTTTTAGGGGCTGTCACACACAGGGGTTCACTCATGCCTTGTGCCCCAGTGCACAGACCCACAGGGACCAGGGGTGACCCCCTGCCATGATCAAGCCCCACTGGGACCTACTGTCTGCCTCAAGAGGAAAGCAGGTTAACCCTTTCCTCCTGGTCAGCCCTGCCAGGAGACACTGTCACCTCAACTGAGGACAGGGGTTAACCCCTTCCATGCTGGTCCCTCTCACCGTGTTACTGTCACCTGGGTGGGAGGTTGCCAACTCTCTCACCAGCCAGTTCAGCCCCACTGGGATACACAGGTACCCCCAGGGCGGTGGTGGAGGGGTGCTGACCCCTTCCAGGCCACACCACATAGCTCAAACAGAGCACATTATTCCCTCCAAAGCGAAACAGAAGAGAGGGATTAACCCTAACCTCACCAGCCTCTCCAGCTCCACAGGGCTGTACTGCAGCCCCATGGCAGGGGGTGTCACCCCTCTCTCTCCCTGCCCCACTTGGATGCACTATCTCTGTTATGGGGCACGGGGATTAACCCCTTCCTGACACACTCTTCAGGCCCACAGGGACACATGGTCACCAGGTAGGGCAGTCAACCCAGTGAACCCTGAGCCACAGCCCCACCAAGAAACCCTGACAGCCCACAGGAGCCAGAGATGCCAACTCCTTCCTCCCTCACCTTCAGCCCCACAGAGACCCCGTGTCACCCCATGGTGGCAGAACAGCCTGGCTACCCTCTGCTCCCCACCCACGAAGGGGCAAAGGGGGTAAGCTCTCAGCCAAACCCTGTCAACCCTTGGGGCAGAGGCCGATCCTGCGAGGCCCTGGGGACACCCTGCCACTTCATAAAGCAGAGGTTTAGCCCCCAGAGCAGGACAGACTGTCACCCCATGGGTGGAGTGGGGCAAGCACCCCCTCCCAGCCGTATAGGGACATGCTGTCACCCCATGGGCAGAGGGGCCAATCAGCCCCGCAGTGACACCCTGCGACTCCTCGGGGCAGGGGAACTGACCCTCCCCAGCCCCACAGTGACATTCCACCATCCCCACAGGCCAGGGGGACTGACGAGCCCCCAATTTCATGGCAACAACTTGTCACGCACGGCGCAGGGAACTGACGGCTGAGTCCCACAGCAACCCCTGTCACCCCCAGGGCAGGGGGACTGACCCCACAGCGACACGCTGCTAACCCCAGACAGGGGCACTGCCCCCCACCCCAGGGTGACCCTTTGTCATCCCCCGCCGGTCCCACAGGGGCACCCTGTCACCC